TTTACAAATCAAGGTCTGTTTTACCTAAGAAGTGTTTTGTTCATTTGTTTTTCATTTATTCATTTGTTTTTACCTAAGAAGTTCCAAATAACGCCCCTTGGCCTCGCTCTAGATAATGCTCTTTTTTTTTTTTTTTGGAGAGGTTTTTTTTCACTATAGGGCGTGTTTGCTCGCCAGACAGACAGAGACATAGAGACAGAAAGCGAGAAATCACCCCCCAGGGGGGATGGTCACGCTGCAGTCCCTTCTCCTCCATTCTCCTCTCGGGATCTTGGGCACGCACGCACACGCGCCCGGCGTGAGTTTTAAGCCACCGGGTCCGGGATGTGAACTGCGGTCGACTACGTGGGAGTCCAGCGACATAGCCATTACACTAACTGCTGGTTCCCAAGATAATGCTCTTTTAAAAAGTTTCCCTCGTTGGCATGCAGGTTCTGTTCTGGTTTTACTCATTGCCGAGTGCCTCTATCTGGAGACCGATTTTGTCTAATAGAATCAGGGAACTGCCTTCCCACTGTGACTGAGGCCTATTTGTTTCCTTCTTGGGACTATGCCCCGTTTGACAGCACCTGCCTGCTTAGTGAGGGGCCACTCACACGTCAAAAAAAGTTATCTCCACTGCTCACACAATCCGTTTTTTCTGCGTTGACCTTCCTGTTTCTCTCATTCATTCAGAATGGGAAGAGGGGGTGAGGCTTTCTGTTTATTTTTATTTTGTGTATCTTTTTTTTTTTTTTTTGAGAGAGAGATTTTGGCTATAGGATGCGTGTGCTCTCCAGAGACACAGAGAAAGACAGAGAGAAAGAGAGTGAGAAATCACCCTACAGGATGGCCATGGCTCAATCCCTTCTCCTCCATTCTCCTCAGGATTTTGGGCCCACATGCGTAAGTGCCCAGCGTGAGTTTCAAACCACTGGGTCTGGGACTTGAACCATGGTCAACCATGTGGGAGTCCAGTGCCTTAACCACTGCATCACCTGCTGGTCCTTTTCTCTGGATTTTTGAAACTCATTTAGAATTGCCAAGCTTGTTTGTTGACTCACTGCAATGACCTCCAGAAATTGGGATTTGGAGAATAGAATGTGGTGTGACCATGCCCCGCTCCAGGGTGTTTTCTCTCTTTCCTTTCTTTTTTTTTGGAGAGGCTTTTGCTGTAGGGCATGTGCACTCGCCAGAAAGAGAGAGAGAGAGAAAGCGAGAAATCACCCCCCAGGGGGGATGGCCATGCCACAATCCCTTCTCCTCCTTTCTCCTCTTGGGATCTTGGGCACGCATGCACATGCGCCCGGCAAAACTGAAAAACAGATCAAAGTGTACTGTAAGTAATATTCTGTGCTACACTGACAGCAGCCTCAGGCATCTGCTCACGCAGTTCACGTGGTCTTTTCATGACCTCATTTTCTCTTGCGCTTCTTTTTTTCCTTTGGAGAGGTTTTTGCTATAGGGCGTGTGCGCTCACCAGACAGAGAGACAGAAAGCAAGAAGTCACCCCCCCACACACCGCCAGGGGGGATGGCCACGCCGCAATCCCCTCTCCTCCATTCTCCTCTTGGGATCTTGGGCACGCATGCACACGCGCCCGGCATGAGTTTAAGTCGC